TAGCATAGACTATAACTGTGCATCTTCTGCCTAGTCCAGGGATGGCTAACCTTTTTGCCGTCGCATGCCAAAAGTGGGAGGAGTGGGTGGGGGCGCGCACGCATGTACCCACACCCATAATTCAATGCACTGCGCGCAGGCCCCCCCCCCATGCTCCCCACGCTTTTGGCACTCAATGGCACAGTAGGCTTGGTTGGCCTGTTTTTTACTCTCCCTAGGCTCCAGAGCCTTTCTAGGAGCCTGGGGAGGGCAAAAACAGCCTTCCCCATCGCCTCGGAGGTCTCCAGAGCCGAAAATGGCCTGTTTGCTGACTTCTAGTCCTACCTGGCAGAGCCAGGTCTTCATGTTCCTGCAGGATAGGAAGGCAGAGGCAAATCTCACCCTACAGTGAAAGATGTCCCAAAGGACATAAAGAAGTATGTAAATATTTTTTATTGATGTCAGAATTTTCATCTTCTAAAAAAATGCTGTCTGTCTTATTTGCAGCAAAACATTTTCAAAGGATGATCTGTGTAACCTTGCTTATCAGATTATTGGATTTTAAAAACTAAGTATAGCTTTCAGCATTTCTTCCCCAACAGGAAGTTGCACCTGCTTAGTACAGGACTTAAATGGAAAGCAACCAAGGAATACCAGGGCAATAGGCTAGATTGTGAAATTGAAAAACATCCTATAACAATGCAAACTGTTTTCATATTACTGCTGAGAAAAGTATATGAATGTATCCAGGAAGCATAGCTGACTTGAAGTACATTTTATTTTTTCTATGATGCTCTGTTTGGCTTTTATACCTTTTGTGATTAATTCTATTGATGTAAGAGCAAACCAGAAAGAAATTATTGACTCTTGTGAGATGAGTTCCACCTCATCTAGTGAATGAGGTAGTGAATTATCATTCTTGATAGTAAGCACCCTCTCCTTGCTTTTATTGTCACTTATATGGGGTTCTTCAACTGAAACTTTAGCAACTCCATCTAAATCTATGTTCTAGAACTGTGATGGCGAATCTATGGCACACATGCCAGAGGTGCATGCAGCGCTCTCTCTTGACACATGAGCCATCGCCCCAGTTCAGCTCCACCACACATGCACAAGTATCTCCCGCTGATCTTCGGGTCTCTGTCGCGCATGCGCGAGCCACATGCATGGAGGCCTTGCATTCATGCACGGAGTGGCGGTGTGTGCAGCAATGGGGCACATGCATGGGGGTGGGAAGCGGGCACATGCTCAGGGGCGGGCACATGCGGGGGCCACATGCACATACATGGGGCAGGGCACGTGCGGGGAGGGCATGCACATGGACGGGGTGGGCCACATGCAGGGGTTGTGCATGCATGTGGGACATGAGGTACGTGTGGTGGACATGGGCACATGCTCAGGGCAAGGCATGTGTGTGGGAGCTGAACAGGAGGCAGGGCGCATGTGCGGGGGCCACACACGCGTTGCATTTTGGGGGGTGCTTTGGGCACTCTGTCCGAAAAAGGTTAGAACTAAACTCACCACCCAGAGCCATTTACTGAGATAAAGAAATAAATAGGTGGATATAGAAAACAGATAATGGAAGAAACAGTAACACAACAATTAAAACCTAAAAACACACAATTACAAACAGTTACATATATCTTCTTTTTGTTTTAACCAGTCTAAATAACATTGTGTCATTGCTCCTTCTACCTCCAGATTGTTGTTGAACAAATTAAGAGAGATCCCATCGTTTATTTCCATTTATGAGGATTGGTCAATTTTTTCTCTCTCATATTAGTCCTTAAATAGAAAAGAAAAAATTACAAATTTAAGCCCATATAAATGTAAACTATATATAATTATTTAATAGAATAATGGATAATGTAAAATAAATTAAATTTTAATTTAAAAGTAGAAATATAGTACAATAAATACAGTACAGAGTAACAAAAAAGTAATTTGAAGCCAAGCTGTAAAAACAGCATAAGGTAAGCAGCATGGAAGAAAACACAATTTTTTTTAAAAAAGTCACAATAATGGTAATTAAATGGAAGAACCCAAGCTTTAGCAAGAATGACTAGGGAAAACAAATTAATCATCTCTTTTCTAGTTAAAATTTATTTCACTTTCTTTGACCCTATGTGTTTTCTATTCCTATTTTAGTTTTTGCAGGAAGTGACTTGGTACAGATGCTTTTGAGGCTGAATGAGGCTTTGCCAACAGCTATTATATATTTTTAATAGCAGTTTCTTTCCATTCACCTCAGCCCCTCTGTTAAAATATTCTTTTCAAGGCTTCCTGGATGGAGTGAATTATAATAATACGTGCATTCTTGCTATAGTACTTCTCGTTGATTGCGTTGACTGCGAATAGCTGGGCTGATCAACAGCAAGGATAAGTGGTCCAGAATGCATGCAACAACTCATTCATTAATTCTGACTGGTCTCAAAATAGTAAGAAGTGGTTTGAACTGCTTCTTCACTCATTCTGTTTCTCTTTGTGTAATGTAGGGCTTCAGTCTTAATTCAGATTCAACCTAAGCGGTGAATAAAATTGCTACCTAATCACTCCTAATTTCATGCAAACCTCTCAAGGACAAATGCTGAAATCATTAGAGCAAAAAAGCAGGCTTAATTACATATTCATTATGTACCCCCTTGTTTCTAATCTTTCTTCTTCTCAAGACACTGCCCTGATATATTTGCTGTACAAAACTTCATGGTGTGTTTCCTCATGTGATGGGAAGGCACTAAAAATGCACATGTTTGACCTAGTGCTTCTAAACAGTCTACTTGCAGTATTATAAAAGCACTAGCTCAGTCCATGTAAGGTGCTAGGCAAGGTTTAATTAGACGGTGTATTTTCTTTATGACTGAATTATTCGTTAATGTCTTCTTGGCTGTTTCCAATGAAGCTGAATGACATTGCTGTGCTAATTGAGTGCTGGGTTTGAAGATATTCTCTATTAACTCTGTCAGGTCCTTTGTTAATTTCCCTACAAGCCTAAGGTCTTTCCAACAGGAAAGGCCATTTGCTGCATTTTCTTCAAAGAAAGAAAGCAAGGGGAATGAGAAGTTCAGAATTTGTACTTCAGGGAGGGGTCCTTTCAAGTTGTGGAGATTATTTGTACATAAAGGCTATACTTTCCCTGCATACTAGTCCAAATCATTCTGTGCAAAGTTTTCTTACAGTTAAATATTTTCATTTTCATTTCCTGCAGTTAAGTATTTTCAGGCTAAAATTATTTTTAAAGAATTTAATGCAAATAGCAAATTATTTTGATTGTTGAAAGCTCATTAGATTTGCTGGTGTATTATCTTATACACCCAGATTATGGAACTTCCAGTAATGCATTCAGTCCTTGTAGTCTTATTGGCGATAATTGTTGACTATTTCTTTTAGTTTAGTTTGGCTTTGTTTGTTTTGATTAAATATTTCTGACAGGGATTGCTGTAAAAGTTTGTTTATTCACTATTAAGTTTAATTTGCACTTTGCCACAAAATATAATAACAGACTGGATCTGTGATGAAATATTGTTTATTGATTCTTATACACGTCCATCCATTACATCAGTCAAAATCACACTCAGGTATGGAGAAAATTGAGCTCACTTTGATGACTATGACCAATTTCATTTATATTTGAGTAGGGATGTGATAAAGTTCAGGAATAACAGTGGTAAGTCTGTCTTCTCTAGGAATGCTTCCAATTAAACAACGTAAAGAAGAAAAAATGAATGTGATACATGTAGTTTTGTAGTGAATAGCATAAGTATATACACAATGGTGTTCAGCTCTGTTAGGGCTATCAACAGGTTCAATAGAGAGGAAACACAGGTTATGCTGTAACACTTTATGTTTGGGTATCAGAGAAGATCTATAGAAAAATATAGTCATACTTGGCTAGACATGATTATATTCTCTCTGAAACCATTGCCTGTCAATTTATGTAGATTTGAGTTGGAGAAGTTAAATTGTAGTTTACATTTCAAATTCCATCCAGATGTAGATGTTCTGAAATTTTGGATCATTTGTTCTTGGGGTAGGGAATGGGGGTAGGTTTAAAAATCAGAATGGATGCCTTAAGCCTTTCCGAGGTTTAATTCATCAATGGAACCCCTTTAAAATCCTAAATTTTCCCCATCCTAAATAGATTGGTTCTGATTCGTGGATGATTTAAGAGACAAAAAAGTTCCTTCAGATTTTTCAAGACTGCTCGTTAACTTCTTCACAATCTTTAGAAAGAAAGAAAAATGAAAAATTTGGCTCCCCCCACAATTGTGCTATTACAGTGTTATTTATCAGGAATTCTACTGGAATTTTATCAGTTGTTCTAATAATAACCATAGGCTATATTAATCTAATATGCCATTATTCAAAACTTTGGGAGTTGAATGTGTTGTGTTTTGAAACTGAGCAGAGGGTGGCTGGTGAAGCTTTCTTCAACCAGCTGAGCCTTTTAGAAGAGTTGGAGAGTGGCTGCATGATCCCAGGAAAAGATATATTTCAGTTAAGGAGGTGCCAATATTGTGTCCACTTCCAAAGTTCCACTATATATTTTCTTTAGCTTCTTTGTGGATATACTGACTCGCCTCCACTTCAGATCATCTATTCAGCTTCAAATCTGAAGTGCAGCACATTCACTGGATACCTCTCACAGACAGGAAAATGAATGCTAGTGATTGTGAAATACTAAAGACAGGATGAATAGGGAGGGAATGGAAAACTAGAGAAGGAAGATGAATGGAGTAGCAATGGGGAGTCAAACTCGCATTGTCACGGTGGCGTCACATGATGTATTGCAACTTTTTCCCCCTTCGCTAAACCAGGCGTGGGCATGGCCAGTGTGTGACGTATCCAACCCGCAGGCCGCAAGTTTGACAGCACTGGAGTAGCATATTCTGGAAAACACTGTGAGTGGCTTTCTGAAACCCTTAGCAGGATTCCAGGTTCCCACTTGTAAATAAGAAAAACAAAATACCTTTGACGTCTTTTTATCTTCATTAAGAATCCTATCTTATCTCTTTATCTGATAGGTGCATTTTATGAAATGGTTCAGAGCTTCCCTCGAGTGGAGGAAAAAGTGCATATGGACTCCTACAGATATAGCCACAGATGGAAACGACACTCGGAATTGCTCAAATCAGTGGACACCAACAGAGCCAGCATAGGACAGGACTCCTCAGAACCTGGAGGTTTTACAGATCTACTTCCTGATGACACGCATGATAACACTACGCAAATTGAGGTAGTGGGCTATTCTCTCTTGATGTTGTTGACTTCAGATAGCTGCACAGTGAGCAGTGATATAAAACCTCATTATCAACCCTTCACAGCTTTCCCATAAAGGAAAGCTGTTTATCAGCCAGCAAGTACAGGCATTTCAAAACATTATATACCAGAGCAGGCAGCTGGCCCAATCAGATACTATCTTAAGGATGCATAGACAGTAGATAATGCAACGCCAGGGGTATAGCTTTTCATTACAGCAATGTTCTCATCTCAACTGATTAAGTTAGTTCATTCCTGTGTCACACAAACTCAGTCCATCACACATAAACAAAGATATATAGAGAAAAGGAGGAAGACCTTATCCATAAACCAAAGTCTTAATACATGTTATGAATTCTTTTTTCTTTCTATATGCCCAGTGAGTCAGAAAGAGCAGGTTAATGTGTGCAACTTACAAAAAACTCTGAGATGTACAATAATTTCTGGGCACCAACAAGCTTTTGCTCTCTTATTATATTCACTTGGTTCTGGTGCTTTATCCTTTTCTGAAGGTTTAACTGCAAAATAAAGAATCTCACGAATATTTAAATCGCTTCCATTATACTTATTGTACATCCATGGATGTCAACTTTCATGTCTTAGAAATTCCAGAACAAATAGAACTTGAAGTAGAAATGTGTATAAACATTATGCTCTTATGCATGCACATGTGTGTGTTTATTCATAGTAAATGTCTTTTTATAATAACCAGTATTTATCCTATAGATTTAAGCTCATCAGTAGTTTTGCAAAGACATAATTAATTTCAGCTGCTCTCCTTTCTCATATTTAATGTTTCTATGAAATGAGATTCATGAGAATCAACTCTTGGTATAATGCAATGCAATATAATATTATTTGGAAAACTATTTCAAATTTCTGGTAACTCTTCTCCATTCCCTGGCTTCATTATCATGGTTACTTTTCCTTTCTTATTTTTTTGTTTCCAGTTATTATTAGAATCTAATGTAATTAGGAATTACATTACATTTGCTTAATGAAATGTGAGGGTTTTTTTTAAAGTTTCAAGAAAATACAATTATAATTTGTTCGTCATTGCAATTGCTGCTCTGTAGCATCTAAATTAATTTCCTATCACCATGTTGGTTTGGTTCAGGGGTGGGTTCTACTTATCTTTACTACCGGTTCGCAGCAGAGTCGCACGCAAGCGCAGAAGCTTCTGCGCAGAAGCAGAAGCATTTTGGTGACATCAGGGTTGGTGGGCAGAGCCACCTGCTGGTTTTACTATCGGTTCTATAGAACCAGTGCAAACCAGGGGCAACCCACCACTGGTTTGGTTAATCCATACAGTTCCATGAACTGATTTCTGATTCCATTTGCAATACACAAAACTTTGCATTGTATTTTAACAAGCTATCTGTCAATGCTATACCTAAAACCATATAGAGTAGTCAATCTAGAACCACTTTTGGAACCAGAATGTATACTGCTAACAAGATGGTTGTTAAATGAATTGCGCCTCATTTTACAACAGTTGTCAAGTAAACCTCATTTTACAACAGTTGTCAAGCCAATCTTCCTTCATTGACTTTGCTTGTCACAAGCCAGTTGAGAAAGTTACAGATCAAAACACTAGGATGCTGCAACTGTTGTAAATATATGCCAATTGTCAAGTGCCTGAATTTTGATCACATGATCAAAAACAGTGCGATTCTGGCACTGATGATGTTACCTACTTGGGTAATGAAACATCTGCAAGCAAACAGCCTCAGAGAGCACCAAGAACTCCAGAGTTCAGCTCTGAGTTACATATACTCTTATTTTATATAGTTGTCAATCCAAAGATTGAGATTGCTGCTAGAAGCTGGACAGCATATAATTTATTACTATTATATTCCCAAAAATGTGAAATCATATTTTATAATTTTTCAAAATGTTCCAATGAGTCATTTTGGTAAATGTGTTATGTTCTTGTTTTTAATCAATTTGTTATTCTTACATTCAACCCATTGATGAATATTAATAAGAAATTGGAAAACATATGAAGACATTGTTATATAATAAGTAATAATATACATATACATGCCACATTTTATATTGGCTTCTATGAAATATTAACATGTAGATGTACCATCTTTCAGATCACAGGTTATATTTTAAATTTATCAAAAAAAAAATTCAATATCAATAGTTTATATTAGTTTCCATCCGGTGCTTCTTTTTTTTCGGGGGGGGGGGGATATTTATTTTTTATTTTTTTAAAACAAACAAAAAAACCCCACATCTTTTCAAAACGAAGCTTTTGCTCCAGTCACAAATTAAAACAAATCATTAACAAATCTTATTTTCAATTAACATAACTCAATATTTTAAATAAATATTTCCCTCAAATCTATCTACATAACTATACCATTATCCCCAAAAACACGTTACTTAAATCTTAAATCCTATCCAGTTAACAATTCATTTTTCTCTTTCATTTGCTTAGAGGGATATTTGACAATATAAATAATACAATTATATTAAACAGATTAAACATTCATTAATTATTTAATTATTATTAAACCTAATTTATGCATTTTATCTTAACTATCACTCTCAACATACACCTCCTTGTTTTAATTATCTCACCTCTTTTTATTATCTTTGATGTTAAACCAATCATTTCTATTTCTTGACTGTTAATCACGGCATAGCCCTTTGTTTTAGCTATTAAATATAGCATATTTTTATTTTTTAGCCATTACCCGGCTTGCCCTTTATTTGGCTGTTGAACACAGCATATTAGTTTTGTTTTTTGGCCGTTACACGGCATCTTCAGGTTTGTTTGGCTATTGAACACAGCATCTCTATTTTTGTTTTTGGCCATTACACGGCATATTAAGTTTTGTTTTGGCTGATACCCAGCATGACCATTTGTTTGACTGTTCTATACAGCATATAATAACTTTTTGGCTGTTAAATACAGCATGTTCATAGTTGGTTTAACAATCTCTACTTAAATCCTTCTTTGTTGTTTCCCTCCATCTATGCATTGCTTTTCATTTAATCATATTTTTCTTTATCTTTTTTCATAGCATTCATAACATTTTAACCTTGAAGACATGGTTCTTGCTTAAAACATATTTTTAAGTATATTTTTAAATTCCTTTTAACATTTTCAATTAATCATATTCACCCTTATTCTTTATCTTGACATTTTACTATTAAAACATAGTTCTTGCATTAAACATATCTTTACATGTATTACTTAGTTTCATTTAACAATCTTAATTTCTATAAAAGCCTCCCTTTAATCTATTACAATCATCTTTATTTTATTTTTAATCACATTATCTTCATTTCCTTGTCTGCAAACATAAATTTCTTTCCATTTTCCAAGTTTTTGATTTTATTCTCCATAAATCCAATTGGATCTCTTTTTATAGTTTTATTCCGGATATAATGTATCAAATCTGCGTTAAATCCTTCTTCTATTCCTAAATCCTAAATCCTTAAATCCTAAATCCTTCTTCTATTCCTGCGCTAACATTCAAGTTATTTGTTCAACTGTAGGAGTTCCATTGTAAATTCCTTTTCTTTTCACCCAAGTCCAGCTGTTTGCAGTTAGGAGAGAAAAATCCTCCTCCACAGTTCAGCAATTTTTTTTTCTGTAGAGCTCAAAGTTCTCATAACAAAGGGAGGTTACAAAGTTCCTCTTTATGTCAGATGGTGTCTCTCTATAATCCACATTTCCCATTAGTCATGCAAGACTCCATTTTATTTCTTATTATATAACCATCAACTTTATTTTCTTCTTTTAGTTAAAAAAGTATCAAATCTTTTTTTTTCCCTTAGTCCAATTCAGATTTTTAAAGTGTTTAGTCCCTTTACCAAATCTCTAAATTAAGTCTCTTAGTTCTTATTCCAAAATTAGTTGTTTCTCAGGTCTTTGTTCTTTAAAGTTGCAGTTTCAAATTTTTTTTCCAAAGCCCCTTTGTTACTTAGCCGCTGCTTTAGGCTAGGGGTCTTCTAGTTACTGATATAGCTCCAAATGTTGTTACAAGTCTGGCTTCTTGTCACTCAGCCGGCTTCAAAAGACTCCGTTTTAATTCGCTTTCCTCCAGCACATTTCTTGCCCGGTTGTCACAGCTTTGTGGCAGCCGCCATGGCTGCCACCCCCTGCTGCCAGCTCACAGAGGGTTCCCTCTGACCTCCGAGGAACTGCCTGTCCCTCTCAGTTTTCCAAGATGCCCCTCTTCTTTTCCCGTCCCTACAGGACAGATTCAGTCCACAGACCCATCGGCGGCGGTTCGGCAGCTGGGGTTTTCACGGGACTCATCAGAGCCCGCTATTTCCCTGGCTGTCTTGCCACGACGTCAACCAGAAGTCTTTAAATTTATCAATTTAATTTCTTCTCGTTTGGCAAATTAAGACTAGGGAAAATTATCATTTGCAATTATTTTCTAATTTGAATTAGAAAACTAGATTTGTATACATTCAGTTTGGCATGCAGTCCAACCGTTCCCTAACATTAGATATACAATGATAGGAAATTGTGCCTCACCATGATCCATAAATGTAGGTAAGAACAAACAAATTCTGGATTCTGATGCTGTTCATATATAACCCCTTTATTCAAGATTCTATGCTTCCTGAATATCCAATAGAAAATTTTGGGCTTGAAAGCTCTCACATCTTTCCTCTTCCTCTTTGAAAAGAAAGGAAACAAATGTTCATTTATATAAACAGAATTCAATATAACATCAGAAGGCTGGAAAGGCTAGTTACTTTAAACATTAGTTAATTCAATGAAACCAGGATTAAGATATGTAATAAGATATTTCTTATCAGAATAATGTATATTTCAAGTCTCCCATGTGCATTATTATATTAATGATTTATAACACATTGATAATCTTGATTTTAAAAAACCTCTGCACAAAAAAATAGAAAATACAAAACACTTTAATAAAAGTAATGTATTGTTGTTTGAGAATCATATAGTTATAGACAATATATGGAACCTGTTTCATG